ACAACTTCCTATTCCTTTTGTTGTTTATGCAGATTTTGAATGTTTTACTAAACCAATGAATAGTTGTAGTCCTGATCGTAAAGATTCTTATAATTACAACTATCAAAAACATGAAACATCAGGATTTTGTTTTTATGCAAAGGGAATTGCTGGTAAAAGAATTAAACCCATAATTTTTACAAAAACTTCAGAGGATGAAGATGTAGCAAAAGTATTTGTAGAAAAACTTACAGAATTGACTAAAGGAATTTATGACGATTTTTATCGTAGACCAAAACCTCTAGTAATGAATTCAAAAACACAAAAAGAATTTAATGCTGCAGTTAATTGTCATATTTGTAGTGGCGAATTGGGGGATGATAGAGTTAGAGATCATTGCCATTTTACAGGTGAGTACCGTGGAGCAGCACATAACAAATGTAATCTTATGTGTAAAAAACCAAGAATACTACCAGTTATATTTCACAATCTTCAGGGTTATGATGCTCATTTGTTTATAAAACAACTTGCTAAAATAGATGGTAAACTTGATTGTATTCCATCTACTGAAGAAAAATACATTTCATTTTCTAAAACTATTAAAGTTGGTGAGTACAAACATATTAGTGGTGATGTTTTACCAATAAATTTTGAAATCAGATTTTTAGATTCATTTAAGTTTCTTCAAACATCACTTGCTAATCTTGTTTCAAATTTACAATCAGATGACTTTAATAATACAAAACATGAATTTAAGAAAAATACATCACTACTTACTAGAAAAGGAGTTTATCCTTATGATTATGTTTCATCACTTGATAAATTATCAGAAACACATTTACCACCAAAAGAAGAATTTTATTCAAAACTTAATGATGAAGATATATCAGATGAAGATTATCAACACGCAATAAAAGTGTGGAATAAATTTGGATGTAAAACAATTAAAGGTTATCATGATTTATATCTCAAGTCTGATGTTTTACTATTAGCAGATGTATTTGAAAACTTTAGATCAACTTGTCTTAAACATTACAAGCTAGATCCAGCTCATTACTACACATCTCCAGGGCTGGCTTGGGATGCATGTCTAAAAACAACAGGACAACATCTAGAATTACTGTAAGTGATTATGATATGTTAATGATGTTTGAGCGTGGAATTCGTGGTGGAATAACACATATATCAAAAAGATATGCAGAAGCAAATAATAAATATATGAAAAATTATAATCCTGGAAAGGAGTCTACTTTTATACAGTATCTTGATGCAAATAATCTTTATGGATGGGCTATGAGTCAAAATCTTCCAACTCATGGATTTAAATGGATGAAAGATATAACATTGGAAAAGGTATATGAAATTTTAGAAAAAGCAAATCATAGTATGTCAAATACTGGTAAGAAGGGTTATATATTTGAAGTTGATTTGGAGTATCCACCCCACTTATGGGATACACATAATGATTATCCTCTAGCACCTGAGATAATGAAAGTTAATGGAGTTGAAAAATTAATTTGTCATTTCAAACCTAGAAAAAATTATGTTATACATTATAGAACTCTTAGGCAATGTATTGAGTTGGGTATGAGGATTACTACTGTACATAGAGGAATATCATTTTATCAATCTCCTTGGATGGAACCTTATATTCGAAAGAATACAGAACTTCGAAAGACAGCAGCTAACAGTTTTGAAAAAGACTTTTTTAAATTAATGAATAATTCAGTTTTTGGTAAAACAATAGAAAATATAAGGAAAAGACAAAATATACATCTTGTTGATAACCGTAAGAAAGCTCTAAAATTATCAAGTCGTCCAAATTTTGATAGATGTACAATATTTGATAAAAATCTTATAGCAATACATATGAAAAATACTGAAGTGTATTTTAACAAACCAGTATATGTTGGTCAATCAATTTTAGATTTATCAAAATCTCTAATGTTTGATTTTCATTATAACTACATCAAAAATAAATATGGAAAAAAAGCTGAGTTATTGTTTACAGACACAGACAGTCTAATGTATGAAATTAAAACAAAAGATTTTTACGAAGATATATGTGATGATGTAAAAAATAAATTTGATACTAGCGATTATCCATCAGATCATCCTTCCGGTATAATTACAGGAGCTAATAAAAATGTAATAGGGATGTTTAAAGATGAAGTAGCTGGAAAACAGATAACTTCTTTTGTTGGGTTGCGACCCAAACTTTATAGTTTTAAAATTGAGGAGGATAAACAAGTAAGAAAGTGTAAAGGCATAAAGAAAAATGTTATAAAAAAGAAATTAGATTTTGATGACTATGTTAAATGTTTGTTTACGGGTGAAAAAGAAATGAGATCTATGAAAATTATAAGAAGTGAAAATCATGATATATATTCTAAAGAGGTTAACAAAGTAGCTCTTAGTAATCAAGATGATAAAAGATGCGTATTAAAAGACTTAATACATACTTTAGCATTCAGATAAAAAAATTTAAAAAGTAAATACACTTAAAATAATAAATGAACTACACAGAGGAAGAAATAAAAAAATATTTAAATATACTACATAATTATAAACTAGAGAGGGAGGGGGTCATAGGGGGAACCGTACGTACCCCTATATGTAAAGGTTGTTCAAATACAGAATCTTTTTCAACATATTCAGGTTACAATATGTGTAATGAATGTGGAACACTTAACGGTCATATTTTAGGTCAATTTGATTTAAAAGATTTTGATAGATTTTACTATCGAAAAAAGAGTATTTATCATAGGAAGTATTACTATGATAAAAAGATTAAACAGATTTCTAAATTAATAAATCTTACTGATGAACAAAATTGTGAACTTTACAACAGACTATTAAAAATAGATAATTACAATATGGAAATACTTAACAAGCAATATTTTAGAAAGAGAATGATAAACATTAATTATTTAATCAAAAAAATTTTGGAGGAAATTGGTTGTGAAAAGTATAAAATTATTGAAGTTAAAATAAGCCCTCAAACTTTAGAGATTTATGATAAGTGGTGGGGAAGTTATAAAAAACTGATAAAATAATTTTATATTATTATTTAATATAAAATTTAATCTAATCTAATCTAATCCTTTATGAAAAATCCAATATAAAATGCCAGTTAGATAACCAAATACTTCACTTTTTATTGGTGAATCAAATACGTATACACATCCTCGTCCAAGTTTATAATTATTGTAAAAAGATTTAAAAGCTCTATAAAATATTAAATGATTATTAAGTACTCGACTATTAGATTTAATAGGTAAATTATTTAGCTTATATATTATTGTTTCAAGTGTAATATATTTTTTAAAAGTAGATTCGTATAAGAATCTATATATCAGCGCTGTCTTTATAATATCTTCTGAGTATTTTATCTTTTTTAGTGTAGGGTAGTAAAAGTTAACGTAATTAACAATAGTGTTTATCATTTTATTACTAAATATATAAAATTAAAATTTATAATAAAATGCGTATTGAAATCAATCCTAGATCTTTATATTGTGAAATTTTATTTTTTAAGGAAAAAAAATAAAATGTGTGATGTATTATATGGGTTTTTTATTATTTTTTTTTAAGGTCTAAATGGTAATGGTAATCTTAATGATGGTGTTGGTGTTGGTTTTATTATCACGTAACTTTTAAGACTTTTTTTGGGTTCACAAAAATCTGTTTCTTCTGGTTCTTCTAGTTTTAAACCTAATGCTTCTAATTTTGTATCTATATCTTTATTTATTTCTGATTCTAAACAGTATTTTCTTAATATTGAATCTAATTCTTTATTTATTTGTGCTTCTGATTTTGGTTCTAATGTTGGTTCTATTTTTTCTTCTTTCATTGAACTATAATTCCATGTAGTGTGATAAGATTTATATTCTATACTTTTTATAAGTTCCTTACCCAAAAAGTCATATAAAAATTCCTTAAAATCATCCTGTGCAGTACCCAATAAATCCTCATTTATATTACCATGTAATTTAACAAATAGATGTGATTCTACCCTTTTTAGTTGATCAGAAATAAGATCTGATGACTTTTCATTCAATTTTATATCATGTCTGTATTCATAAACAAAAGAAAGTAATGCAAATTTTTTTAATAACAATTTTTTATAAATATCATCATCACTACGAAGTAATTGTGAATCATCAAAAAAATAAGATCCGGTGTCATAAAATTGTTTATCTGGAATATGGATATCATAATAACTAAATGAAATATTTCTAGTTTCTCGTTCACCACAATCTGCTATTTCATATCCTATCATATTATAATTGTAATGTAATACATATACAATATCATGATCTTCTATTTCTACATCTATATTAAGATATATAATAGACTCATCATACATCATACCTCTTATTATTTTCATAAGTTTTTCATTACTAAACACTTTTAATTCTTTGTTGAGTTTCTTTCCAACGGAAGCTTGAGATGTCATTTTTATCTATTAATTAGATAAAAATTTGAATTTAAGAATTAAAAAATAAAAGAAATAAATAAAGATGGAAAATATTTTAGAAAAATCTTTTACTAATTCCCAATTAGGAATAAAGTTAAATTCATACATCGATCAAAAATGTAATGTATTTTTTAAAGTAATTTGATGTAAAAGATTTTGATAGATTATACTATCGAAAAAAGAGTATTTATCATAGGAAGTATTACTATGATAAAAAGGTTAAAAATATTTCTAAATTAATAAATCTTACTGATGAACAAAAATTTGAATTTTACAACAGACTATTAAAAATAGATAATTACAATATGGAAATACTTAACAAGCAATATTTTAGAAAGAGAATGATAAACATTAATTATTTAATCAAAAAAAATTTGGAGGAAATGAAATGTGAAAAGTATAAATTTATTGAAGTTAAAATTAGTACTCAAACTTTAGAGATTTATGATAGGTGGTGGAAAAGTTATAAAGAAGTAATAAAATAATTTTATATTAAAAATTAATATAAAAATTTAATATAAAAATTTAATCATTTAAATATAAATAATAATGATCAAATACTAAAAACATATATAAAAATGCTTTTTTTTTACAATATAAATCTTCATTTATTTCCATTTCTAAATCTATTAAATTTAAAACTTCAAATATTAAATCAATATCAAGACTTTCATCTTCAATTTTATCTTCTATTTCTTTTAGATACTTTTTATATTTAATTTCATCTTCTATTATTTCTTCATAATTTTTATATTTAATTTCATCAAACATTAATTTTTTTAAGTAGAAAAAGATAAGATGTTTTTTTATCTTATCTTTTTGTACTTTCATTTCTTCAAAAGTTAATATATATTCATCATGTAAAAATTTGTAAACTTCTTTCATTAATTTTCTTCCAAGTTGTTCAATATCTTTTTCTCTAATAACTAAATCTTCCATTTTATATATAATTATATTAATCTAATCCTTTATGAAAAATCCAATATAAAATACCAGTTAAATAACCAAGTACTTCACTACGTATTGAACAATCAAATACGTATACACATCCTCTTCCAACTTTATAATGATCGTAAAAAGATTTAAAAGCTCTATAGAATATTAAATGATTATTAAGTACTCGACTATTAGATTTAATAGGTAAATAGTCAATTTTATATATTATCGTTTGAAGTGTAATATATTTTTTAAAAGTAGATTCATATAAGAATCTATATATCAGAGCTGTCTTTATAATATCTTCTGAGTATCTTAAATTTTTGAGTGTAGGGTAGTAAAAGTTAACGTAATTAACAATAGTGTTTATCATTTATTAAACTATTATATAATTTAAAGGTATAAAATAATTAATAAAAATGCGCATTGAAATCAATCCTAGATCGCTTTTAAATTTAGAAAATATTTGTGAAATTTTATACAAACTTCATCCAACAGTTTTAGATTACTTGGTTGGCATGTTAGGTAGGGTACTTGGTATGATAGACTTAGATAATCCTTCAATGGAAGAAAGAGAATTTATAGCTAATAATTATGAAAAAAAAGATTACTCTTTACCAATGGAGGAAGACCAGCCATTAAAAGAAGAACAAAAACAAGAAGAAGAAGAAGATGACCCTTTTGAACAATTTATAAAATTTATACATTCAGATGATGAATTTAGCCTTGAAGATAGATTTCGTTTTAAAAGTTTATTAAAATATCTTCAACTTGATACATATGAATATATTCCAATTAAAATTAATATTGAGGTTGAAGATCCTGTAATAGGGAAAAAGGTTAAAAAATTAGTTAGAGCTCTTGAAGCTACTAGATGTCCAGAACAATTTTATTTAAATAAAAGAGAAATTGATTATGATGCTTATTTTTCTGAAGGATATAATCTTACAATGAATAAAGAACAGGAAAAGAGAAAAGATGAAATTTTTGACAATCATGATTTTAAAACTCTTAAAAAAATTTTAAGAAAGGAAAAGTTGTATCCTTAAGTTAAATAAAAAAAATTAAATTTAAGAATTAAAAAATAAAAGAAATAAATAAAGATGGAAAATATTTTAGAAAAATCTTTTACTAATTCCCAATTAGGAATAAAGTTAAATTCATACATCGATCAAAAATGTAATGTATTTTTTAAAGCTAAAGAAGTAGCTCAAATACTTGGTTACAAAAATACTGAAGATGCTATAAAAAGGCATGTGAGTGAAAATAATAAAATAAAAAAAGTTCAACATCGTGAAACACGTGGTTGTACTTTTACCTTTTACATTAACGAACCTGG